TCGACGATACTTTAATAAAATCATTTTAATTTTGTAATTTAGATGATACAGGCGAGGGAGGTCCTAGTCAACCCTTAAATTAGTTGTTTTGTAAATTGTAACTTTTTAATTTGTAAATTAACTGTCAATTATTACACTATTTTTTCCTTACCAAGTTTTTATCCCAATTGGGTTTTTCTTAGTAAGGTTTTTAACGAGGTAATAATTGTTGTAATTTCTTATTTCTTATTTTATTTTTTGATAAATGAATAAATCTAATTTTTCTTATATTACAATTGAATTAATATTTGAAATGTTAACAAAAAAAAAAAAAAAAAATTTAATTGAATTATTGATATGTGAAAAGTTAGCTAAACAAAATTACATAAAAGAAAAAAATAAAAATAAAAAAGTTTGGGTGGCCTGGCCCGACCCGCACAAAATTCATCGGGTTAGGGTTGGCGGGGCGGGGCGGGCCAACCCTTTTGACCAAAGAGGCGGCCTATTGGCAAGCCGGGTTAGGCCCGACCCTCAATTTTGCTTAACTTGCCACAGGTCGGGCCGAACAGGTTATTTTTTCACCTTTAACTATGAGATACAAAGACTTCAATCATATTAGATCATCGATATTTCTTTTTTTGTGATCAGGGTTGTTTGAGTCAGTTTAAACACACCTCGACTAATCTTCCAATACCCTGAAGTTAATGATCGTTTAATCTTTAGTGGTCACCTATATTAACAATCGAGATAAATCGAACTTAAGACTTTTTGAATAATATACTTAAGAATCACAATTAACTAGTCGACCACACCAGAGTAGTTAGATCATTGACAATTGTGTTGTTGGCCTCTTTCTTAATACACTGAACATTTGTGTTCTTTTAATATTTTTGAAATTATAGAGTGAATGTCAATGATATTAAATTCCAAATTGACGAAGGAAATAAAGCAAGAAACTTTTGCAATAATGTCGGCCCTTCCTAATCAAGAAGGACGGGAGAAAGAAGCGTTACTGCTGGAAATTAAAGGAGAAGGAAAGCGACGAGGGTTTGTGTTGTTTCTGCAGAAAAATACAACATCAATAATGAAGAAATTAAAGTAGATGGAGATAAGAGAATCCATTACCAGAAAAAAAAAAAAAAAAAGCAAGCCATCAAAGGATAGGTTAAAATCCTGTAACCAAAAGGGGACTCATCATCTCAATTAAATCTCCATTATTCATGCAGTTGCGTATCACATTTACACTCTTGAATAAAGTTATAATACATTACTTTAATTTATACCCTTTTTTTCATTAAAAAAAGTATCCAAAATCATTAAATCACCCACCTTATTCAATAACTTTTCAGATCGTATACGTAACATCAAAATGATTGAGTTAATTATTCTGGAATTAGTTCGGTAAAGATTTGGGGAGAAGTACAGAATATATGGGTTTGGAAATAAATCATTTATACTTAATAAGTAAGAAATTGGAAATAAAAATGGTAATTAATATGAAGTAAATGGTGTGTCACAAGGCATAATGAGTAAAATGAAAGTTAAAAAAAAATAAAAAAAGGTTTAAAATGAGAGAAAGTGGCCATACGTGAAGTATTAATTGGTTGCTGAATTTGTGAGCTTTTACAGTGTAAATGGTCTCCCACTGAGAAGATGAGTATGCAGGTGCTGGTTGTGGTTGTTGTCATTATCTTAATTAATTTATATTAAAGTGTAACTTATTTTATTACAATTTGAGCTACATTAATATCCTATATTAAAGTAACCTCTCAAAGTGCACTAAACAAAAAAACATGATATGGGATTTATTTTTCTTTTACTTTATATCATGTCCAACCACGCAAATCAAATCAAATCAAATGAAAACTGAAGAAATGATAGGTGAAGAAGATATTTCTTAAGGTTTGAGAGTTGGGCAGAATGAGAATCTGAAGCTAACGAGGTAAAGGTGAATACGCCCAGAAAGCATCAAAAGTTTGGTCATAAAATTAATAAAAGGAATGGAGGGTTCAAGTAGAAGTAGGCGAGGCCATTTGATTCTTTTTAGTTTTCTTTAAGTCCAGCCACTTACGGAATCTTACAAAATATCAAACATAAATATTAATTAATACTTTGCTCCAAACTCAATTGGATCTTCTTTTAAAGTAGAACCTGTGTTGTTTTAACAAACCCACTTCCCACTTTTACTTTTCATCTTCTCTCTCTTTTCCTTTTTTTTATTTTATTTTATGTCACGCAAAAGATTAAAGGATCTTCACCAAGTACACGTAAATTAAAAGTGCACCCAAAATTGGACGAGCGAGGATAATCTAATATTATCTTTTAAATTCGAGTTTTTTTTTATGGTAAAAGAGTAAGAGAATGATTTAACATAGTCTCTCGAGTTCGAGCTTCTATAATTACTAATAGAGGTGACCATTAGAACTCTTAGCTAGCCAATAGTTTTAAGGTCTTAAGAGATTAGTTAAAGTACATGCAAACTGACCTAGACACTCAAGGCCATATAAAAAAAAAAAAAAAAAAAAATAGGTGCACCCAAAATTTCGTAACTAATGCATCTTCTCCCATCTACTTTACTTAATTGTAAAATCTTTCATCTCCTTGTGTAAAATATATGAGAAGTAAACATAGGGTGCATTTCATTCCCTATTTTTATCCATATTCTCAATCCTATTCCCCAAATATTGTTTGACACATTATTCCAGAAATATTACTATATTTTTTAATTACTTTTAGACCCCTTAAGTTTATTAATTTTATTAAACACCCCTTGAAAAAAGTTTAAAAATTAGCAAAAACACCCCATCCACCCATTCTTGCCAGATTCTGGCAACCACCATCGGTGATAACCAGAATCTGTCACAATGGCTTACATATCGACCGAAATTGATCGATAATTCACCGATCTGGTCTTTTCAGGCCGTCGTTGACTGACAACGACGACCAATGATGGGCTTTTGCGACCATCAACGGCCACATCTAGTCGTAGATCTGGCCTTTTCTGGCCAGATCCGCCACCAGAAAAGGCCAGATCTACGCGTTACGACATAGATCCGACCGATCTATGTTGTAACGCAATTTTTTGGTCAGATTTCAGTGGTGGTAGCCGGAATCTGACACTGCGGGTGATGGGGGTGTTTTTGTCATTTTATAAAAATTTTATATATTGGGGTGTTTAATTAAATTAGCAAACTTATGAGGTTTTTTTAGAAATTTTTAAATTTTATCTCGTAATACTCTCCTATCCAACTATCCAATATTATTCTCAAAATCATATCTAAAATAATAAACCAAACACACCCATAATGGTAGTGCATATGGGTGTAGTGTAATATAATTCTATGCTCAAATTGGTGGGTTGAGTGAAGGGAAAGAGTTTGTGCCATTGGAATTGCCTTTTGATCCTTCATTATTAAAAAAAGTAGCATGAAAATTTAAAATTAAAGTGGGAATGTCACTTTGGAATTGGATGACCAATTGCGTACATCAAACAACAAAATCAAAAGCTATTGGAATATTCTCACGTAAGTCTAAGCAACAATCTCCAAATTCAAGAAATAATTTGTGGGTTAGGTTAAGTTATTGTGCATCAATTAAGAGATTTTTTATTTTTTTATTTTGACTATGAAATACGAATATGAGTTGAATACAAGTGTCACCCTGGGATACCATATACATCATAAATGGGCATAAACACCAAAGTGAAATGTCAGTGTCTCCAAAAATCAGGGCCGTCAATCGAGGTCAATCTAATACAACTCAATATGTCCTTCATTATTCTTTCCTCCCACAAATACGCCTCCAATTGAATGCATTTATTTTACTATTAGGGATTTGGTTTCTTACTCCTCAATTAATAATGTTTTTTTTATGGTGGGTTTGTGTTAATTATGTTTTTTATGATCTGGAATTTGTCTTTATGTTATGTGTACTTATGGAGACATTTAAACCGTTAGATGTAAGTTTGAAGAATGTAATGGCTTGACCATACTTTCCTTTAAAAGGATTTATACTGATCGGATAAAGTTCTAGGAAAGTACCCAAATCTGTCACCTCTTTTTTTTTGTTTATCATTATCCCCTACTTTATGATTTTTTTGGCCTAAAATTGTCTTCTTATGTGAATATTTGTTTATATTAAGTTTCAATAAATAAACTAAATAACTCCAAGGGATCGGTCTGACAGTAAAAAAAGTTTGTTTCTTTTTTTGAGTTCTTGAATTCAAATCTTGGGGTTATCTACCACAATAACATTGTGGTTTAGTCATTTGGGTTTATAAAATATTCAACAGACTTTGAGATTAATTGAGATGTTATACGTAAACTGATCTGAACACTTCGGTTAATAAAAAAAAAAAAAAAAAAACCAGTTTTACACTTTGAAGAAATGAATAAGTGCTGCTTGGAAAGTTTGCAAAGAAGGCCCAAGGCTTTTTAACAACTCAACTATTGTCTGGGCTTCCGTCTCCGTAATTTTTTTTTTTTTTTTTTTTTTTTTAAAGCGTCCTTGGAGTGTCCTTTAATGGTACTGAGAGTGGGGTTGGGTGTTGAATTTATGTAGATCCCCCCAAAGTAGGATGAAAACTAGGTATGGCTGTTAAGATGAGAACTGAAACTCTTTAAACTCTTAAAATAGGATCCTCAATTCCTCTTCAACTAACCAAAGCCACCCACATCATCTCTAACTAGTTCTTCGATCTTTCTGGCGGCTGACATTTCGCACTTGAAATTTCTTTCATCAATTTTTATTTACTCTTCTTCACTCTCTAGCCACACACAGTCACCCTTTTCCATTAATCAAAACTTTACCAAACTTCAATGTCAATCCAACCCTTTTCTTCCTTTACATTTTACTTCTTTTTTCATTAACATATCATGCTTCTCCCCCTCATGGCTTATTCATTCATTTCAACTTCTCTTTCCCCCACTCTACTTTCCACTACTTGTCCCACGTTTTATCTTCATTTCCCTGTTGAATGACACTCCGTTAGTTAGTTAATTAATTAATTAACTGTAATTACCCTGCTGGTTTAATTTTCTTAGAAATCTACAAAATTTATTCATGAATTTAGTGTTTGATGAGTGGATATATGATAGAATTATGGTGTCTCCAAAGGGGTCTCAGTTTCCACCTCTGGCTACACAAGGGTCTGTTTACAATCTCACATTTGATGAGGTTCAGAGCCAGCTGGGTAACATAGGAAAGCCTTTGAACTCCATGAATTTGAATGAGTTAGTCAAAAATATGGTTTCGGTTGATGAAGGTAATCATCATCATCAGCTCCCGCAAAACCCTTCTTCTTCTTCTTCATCATCGTCTCCACCCGCTTCATGCTTGCTTGGAAATTTTAATTTGAATGGAAGATTGAGCAAGAAAACCGTTGATGAAGTTTGGAAAGAAATTGTCCACCATGACCAACATGTCAATAACGAAGTGGATAATCATTATAATAATAATAACCAGACGGTGCAACAAATGATGACTCTTGGAGAAACAACACTAGAAGATTTTCTACTGCGTGCTGGTGTTATTAATCATCCTCAGCAGCCACTTATGGCATTTGATCCGATGGTTGTGATGTCGACACAGCAGACTGATTGGTTGCATTTCCAAATGCATCAGCAGCAACAACAAATGAGTGTGATGGATGCAGATTTTAATGTTTCTGAATCGGCTTACGAGAACCCTTCAGTTGTGGATATAGGATACTCAGAGAATCATCATCAAATGGCCATGAGTATGACAATGCCTGTAGCTGCAATACCAGCGACGCCTTCGGATTCTAAAATGGCGGGCGAGAAGAAGCGAGGGTATTCGGATGAGATGATGGAAAAGACCATTGAGAGGAGACAGAAGAGAATGATCAAGAACCGCGAGTCAGCCGCAAGGTCAAGAGCAAGGAAACAGGTAACATGTTAATGGGGCTAATCTGTGATTTTATTTCTGGTTTGTACATTATTAATTATGTTGTTGCTAAATTCTCTCGGTTTATATTTGTTTTGGGTTTGTTGATTTAAAGGCATACACCAATCAGTTGGAGCTTGAAGTGTTTCAGTTGAGGAAAACAAATAGTTGGCTCAAAAAGCAAAAGGTACAATACATAATCACTGACAACATTTTTTTCTATATTTTAATGCAACTGCTTTGTGTTCAATTATAGTTTAAAGGTTAGTCCCTATGTATTGCATTTTCTTAAACGTGGGATCAAACATTCGCATTTTAATTGTTGGTGAAAGTTTAATGTTTTTGAGTGTTTTAACCCAAGGAATTTTCCTGTTCTATGTTGTTTTTTTTTTTGCAGGAAGTGGAGATGCTCTTGTCGTCGCACCCGACGTCCATGCCCAAGTATCAATTGCGACGTACCAGCTCAATTTAATTCTAGAATCTGTTCATATTTGCACTTACAGTTTTTATCTAATTAGAATTTATTTTGTTTATTCATTCGGTAGATGAGCAAAAAATTTTGACATGAGTTTTGAGCTTTTATTTTATATTCTTTTTGGGCAGTATTCATTTGTAGAAGAGCGAAAAATTTTGATATGAATTTGAGCTTCTTTTATTTGGAGCCTTTCTGGGTTATTCAAGGTTGAACATTTTGATTGATTGGTGCAGACATGAGACACTGCTGTATTTTGAAGAGAGCCAGTCATCAAGCTTATACTATAATGCTCAAACTCATAATGCTCGAACAAAATTAACTAGCCCTGTAAATCACAATGAAAGAGTATACTAATTTCCATAAAAATGTTATATGTTACGTGCCTAACTTGGGTGTATTATTCAGAGGTTTTGAATTCGATTTTCTCCTCGATTACTAATAAGGATAATCATTAGAACTTTTATTTAATCGATAATTCTAATGTTTTAAAAAATTAATTGAGATACTCATAAACCTGATTATCCAAACACCCCTTGTCATTAAAAAAAATAAAAAAAATTATATTAGGTAAAGTAATGGTACTTTTTTTTAGATTTGATTACTAAAACTCTTAAATTGTATCAAAGCAAATTAATATTTTGTTTTTGAAAAATATTTCCGAATTGAGAGCGTGATTCACAGCTACTTTAACTCATTTATCCTTTAGTGGTCCAAGTAAACAAAACTCAAACTTGAATCATATGATCAAATGACTGGAATAAAGGCTACTAGAACCCTACACAGCTGCACTAAAAAGTTCTCTATGATTGATATGGTGGGTATTGTCAAAGCGAGAAAGCCAAAAATTAAGAAAATCAATTAAAGAAACGACATATGTATAAACAAATCTTATTAATCTCTATCATATATAAGATTTAACTAAACTTCAGGAAAATGGAATTTGTATTATAATTATATATACTCATATATACACAGCTATTGAATATTGATCATATCTATTTACATGAAAGATGAAACTAGAAGTTAATTCTCCACGGCCCCGACTCGCCTCTGCTTTAGTAAGTGCTTCTTCTGCGGAACCTAGTGACCTAAAACACAAATGAGCTTTTCATCAGTCAAAGGATACAGAGAAACCCAAGAAAGAAAATAGAAAAAATCCATAAAGAATTGGATTAACGGATCACTAGGACCTTATGCTAACATGTGCAAAAGCATCTGGTACAAACAACAAAACTACCACGATACGCTAACAGTTCATGACGAGATCTATCAGCTTTTTTTGAGAAAATGAAAAATGATGGGTATTCCTTAAACTACACAAAACATTAATTTTCAAGCCTATAATCCAGTTTAGAGCTACATAGCTTGATGCAATATACATAGACACTGAGTTCTACTAGATGCACAGTGTTAAGAGGTTGCAACTCCATATTGTCAGTACATGGCCCGACTTAATTTAACTGCATAAGTGTGTGTGTGACTGTATATACCAATCACAGGAAAATGAAAACTAGAATCAAAGTTGGCAGAAATCAATGAGACCGATATTCCTGGACACCGTTGAAAAAAATCAAGGTTGATTCCTACACTATCAAATTAAAAAAGCAAATGATAGTACCCTCGTGCACCTAACTTATCTAAAAGGAAAAGATTATAGGTGATTACTTACAAAATGTAGGACTATTGGTGGGGCACCGGATCATTTCTTTGTGGCATCAATAAACATGGCTCGAGTCCAATGCTCAACATCCTCAGTTTGCGATGGTGGAGGAGGAAAAGTAGGACGCTCGACAAAATCCCATCCATCAATAAGACTTTCCATTTTTCCAATATCAGACATCTCAGTGGCACAAAGAAAACTGGCTGCGGAGCTTGGGAGATTGTTATCGCTAAAGTTTTTCTGTGAGGCAAAACAAGCACACAAAAATCATCAAGTCTTCTAAGAATGCAACTCATTTGAAACCTAATCTCATATTATCCCCTCATAAAAAAGAATCCTATTATTCTAAATATTACCCATCCTAGTTATACAAAAGATTGGTGAAACAAAGATAGCATAAAAAAGAATTGAACGTCTGTACCATGTCACTAAATTTTCGTTGAATGGCAATGCTTCCTTCTCCATTGTCTGTCTTAATAGGTTCTCTTATAGGTATGCATATATTGGCACATTAAAAGAAATTATAAAGCAATTTAACAGGCAGCATCATCAGTAGCAATTCAGGCTGTATATAAAAGAGTATCAACAAGCATAACAAAGTTGATTTCTTTTAAAAAATCCATCTAGTTGCCACCTGAACTTTTAACATTCTTCCCTCCTCCCCCACCACCACCAATATATATATATATATATATATATATAAGAAGCAGAAGACAAAAATACAAAAATAAAAGAAGAAAAAATAAAAAAGAAGGGGAATTTTGGGTATCAAACAAAACAGTTAAATACATTAGCTAAAATTTCAAAATTAGTTAAAAGCCAAAGTCATACCGTCATGGGCAACATATGCGCACTCTCCAGTAAAGTGGTCGATGAAATAACAGAATTCATATTCCACACTGATTGTTTAGTTGTTGAACTGTTTACATGACCTGAAAATTGAAAGATAGTGTCATACCCAAAAGCATCACAAATTACATGAATAAGTACCACTCTCCCGAAAAAAAAAAAAAAAAAAAAAAAAAGTAAAATGATTATTTATCAACCATGACATTGTTGTAAAGTTTTGAAGGATCCTAATACAGATGCAGGTGAAAGGATAGAGGATCCAACATATTAACCATTCTGCAGATGGTAAAGAAGACCTTGGATGACTTCTGAAGCAAAGGCACTTTCAGATAGGCTTGAGAAACAAGAAGAAACCAGTGAAAATAGCGAAAGAAACACACTGTATTTGGCTGTTCAATCTCAACCCTATTTAACAGATTGAGCAAAAGGTAGAATCATGCTAAGGCAAACATGTTCAAGCTCTAGTTGCCATAAGTAAGAAAGTGGCATCTTCTGAGCTCATTTCTTTAAACAAAAATCAATTTCCGTAAAAGAGTTCATTGAAAAAACAAACAGCTGATTGGAAAACTTTCCAGCTTGGGAAATGAATGACTGAAAATGCAAATGAAATAGTTGAGTAAAACTACAACTTAATAGCAGCAAGATGAATTTTCATGGCCCAAGGCATCCAACAAACTAGCATTAGCCATGTTCCAGTGACTAATATTGTAATAAAATACTCAAGAGAAGTTCAAAGTATCATCCAAAATTTACTTAAATGACTTTCATCTTTATTTTTGTCCAAAAGTTAAAATTTGCTTGCTGTTGTTCTAAAATTTGCACAAGGTAGAATTCAATTGTGGGGCAGGATCATAAATCACATATACAGAGGGGAAAAGAAAGAAAGTGGAACGTGTACCTTGAACAAGCCATTTTCAAGGAAAACACAGATCGAATTTCCTTAGATGAAGATAGTGTCACCAATAACTTGGCAAATGCTTCAAAAGTAGATGCTTCAGATGGAGGATCCAGACATAGTGAGTTATAACAGTAGGCTGTTATGCATGCCACACTTTTCTTGAGAAGAGAAATCCCTTTCTGCAAGTCCATGTGTGTTTCAACAGAATGTGGAGATGCAGCAGTATAATTGAAGCTACTACTTCTAGAACAATCCAGGTTGGGCCTTTTCTCAGATTCCATTGAAGTAACACCGAAATTACTTGAGCTTTTATCCCATGCTTCTCCACTAGTAGAACAGTAATTTTGGCGTGGAATAAAAAGGGGATATTCATTGCTGCACAGAACAAAATATATTCAGTCCTACAATCTAATATACAACAATGTAGCTTCATCAAATTACATTCCCAGCCAATATACCTTCGAGAGGATGGGCGTGCATTCCAATAAGAATCCCTTTGCCATATTCTTGAGCAAGAACCCTGAGGAGAAATTACAATATAAACATAAAAGAAACTAGACAGAAAAAGATACATCAAATCTGGTGCTTTTTTCCCTTTTTTTTTTTTTTTTTGTGCGTGTGAAAGTGTTTCCCTAAGAATATAGTTTGCAGTAACAAGGGCAAAAAAATTAAACATCTACCATTTTTCTTTTTTCCTGAAAAAAATCTTGCAAAAAACTTATAAGATGCTCCCATGAAATTTTTATAGCATGCTCTAGTGAAGGTTATGAGCTATTGCCTTCACCAAAACTATCTCAAAAGAATATTTTCTTCATTAAAGTCCTGTGTAATCATCAACTGTACTTTTAGTTGTATTGAACAATTAGTCCATGTGGAGGCTAATCACTAAGAAACCCAGCGAATTTGAAAGATATTTGTCTCAAGTTTAGAAGGATTTTTAGCCATTTCACACAAGGTGCATAAGTACTCACCGCAAAACCTGAGTTATGAAGAGCAGGAACAGCCAAATTGTGAACAACAAGATTTACAAGTTGCACCATGTATCTGTTCTCCAGTCACAAGGATTACTAGTTAGTGGTCAAACAGAAGAACATCCAAGCTAATTAACCAACAAACACATAATTTTAACATGAGAATTTATAAAATACACTGTCAAGAAGGTATACATGATTCAATCTCAGCAGGGCAATCTAATTACCAGTTCTCCAGTAACACTGATTATTTTTCTTATTCATTTTGACACGAAGGTTCAAGCACAAGATTGTATGCATGCATCAGGAGGAGAATCTAATTACTAATTTTCCAGTTACACCAAATTTGTTTTTCTTATTAATTTGGATATGAAGGGACAAACACAAAATTTAGATGTATGCATGTCCTTGTGCATATACATACGTAGTCCTAACAGAAAAGAAAAGTGGTTACCCCAAAGAGGCAGCTAGCTCTTCTGATGGAATAGAGTGTGGGTCAAGTCCTCTTGGTAATCGTGCACAGCAAATCTGATCATATTGACCACTCTGGCCATCTCTTACTTCTGACTCTTTGGTCACCTGAAGAAAAAAAATTAATGTATCTTATTTGGAAGCACCATAACAATCACCCTGGAAGGCCACTTAGATGCAATAACTGATCTTATTTGTCACTAGAAGGTATCACAGCCCATTTATTTTAAAGGCCTTACCCGACGTTGTGGGAACAATTTGCATATCTGTTTTATAATCACAGACTGTTTATGCAGAAGTTCAGAGAGGATTGCCATCTGCAAATCCAGGAACAATTAGGCAATAAACATGGTATTTAGGTGAAAAGAGAAAAACAGAAAAGAAAAGAAAAAAAAGACATTCTATATGATCAACAAGAAGAAAGAACAATGAGGATACAAATACATGGCTATAGTAGTAGAACATCACAGACAAACAAATGCTCCAAGAAACATGCAATTAAAAGATAGTGCACAAAATAAATATCAGCATCTAAATGAAACTAGGATAATAGGCCTTACATGCCCCAAACTCTGAGTGCAAATAAGGTTAGGATAGAACTTCTGCAGTTGTTCTGCACGATTCTTTTCCAACTGCAGAGTCAAAATGATACACAAAACATCTCACAACCTGATAATCAACGAAACTAAAATGAAATCAAGGACACAACTAATACCATAGAATGAGTTGATTCAAGCACAGCATATTTAGCTTTTAAATCATAAGATCTCTTCTCAATCTTTGACTTCCCTGTAAGAAAGTAAAAGTAAATCAACTTTTAAATCTAATATCAATGAAGCATAACAAATTAGGAGTAGCCAAACAACCAAACAACCTTGCGCGAGTTGCTCCCTACTATGCCGTAGCTTCTCTCTCAAATTCACAAGCTTCTCATTCTGAAGCACTCTCCAATTCATTTGATCATCCGCTTTCCCCTAATGAAACATAAAAAATCCTAAGGTCATAACCGTGCTGTCTAAACAAAAACCATATGAAAACGGTAGGCAAAGCACGATTCAAACCTTTGCCACAAGAACTTCAGTCAATCTCGAATATAATGCATCCCGACGACTCTTTAAAGATTTCAACAAAGTGTTGCACTCGTTTAATCTACACGTTACATTACACGCATCGTTTTACACCAGCAAACAAGCAAGCCTAAATCAATTAAAGCATTTAAAATAAGCTTAAACATCAAGGAATTAACAGAAATACCTGTAATTGACACAAACTGCACAAATAGAGGCGCGATTCGAATTCTCGCATATGGCGCAGTTACTGCTTCTCTTGTTCATCGTCGAATTTCCTCTTCAGAAAATCAATCGATAATTTAAATGTTTAATTGCAGCAAAAAGAAATTGAAGGAACTGAATCTCCTAGAAGAGAGAAAATACCACAGTTGAAAGGAGTTGGCCGGAGACGGAAATCGATAATGGATGATTAACGGAGATTCATTATCATTCACGGGAAACTGAGATGGGATGTATTTATATTTAGATATGGTTTACCATACGTGAAACTTCTGCTCTAGTAATGTAAGGCATAAATTATATGGTTTATTATTTGTTCTCGGACTCTTTTTGTGATAAAATTTGAATTTGGGGATTGCCGGAACCAAATCAATTTTAAATTTTGAGAAAATTGTTTGGGTACCCCGGAAAATTTTACTGTGCAGTACCACGTCGTTTTTGTCTTTATTTTTGTTTCCTTAAACGACATGTCGTTAGCCTTGATATTTAATAAGAATTGTCGTCATTCAGTATCTCTGACTCGATTCCTGTAACCGACGACTTGTCGTCTTCTTTAAAAGCCTTTACATGACTCGTCATTCCTATATCATTGAATTGAACTGGTTACCATCCATATTTATGCCTTCAAAAAGAACATACATGATTTATGTTCTCATCATGCAAATCACCTCTTATTAATAAAAGACGATTTAGGATTAATGTCTCCACATCAAAGAGAAGAAAAAATATAAAATAAATAAAATCAGAACCATTATTCAGAAAGAACATGTAGCCTGTGAATGATAAAATATTAATTGAGAGAATACATATGATACAAGAAACTATGATAAATAATATAGTTTGATGCTTCAAATAGAGGGCCTGCTTTGTGTTGTCAAAATTTCTAGGACGCTAAACTGAGGAGAAACCAAGGGTACAATACAAGAACTAGGGAGGTTTCCTCTGACAGTTTCTCGGTGTCACAGATGCAACCGCACAGAAACGGAGCTTCTGAGATGTTAATTATGTAAAGCTTCGTGTATTAAGGTTGTATGTGATTGAATTAATTCAGAAAGTGCTTCTGATAAGTATTGATTCTATTGTCATCATCACATAAAATGCTTTTCTACTAGCTTCCTCAGCTCCTCCATCTTTTCAATGATTCTAGGATTCATTAGGTCCTTGGCTTCTCTCATAAGAGTGCCTTCCCGGCTGAACTGGTAAGCATCCACCAGAGTCCTCATCAATGTGTGGAGCTTTTCTGGGGTCCTAGAAATGGGGAGAAAAAAAAAAAAGTAAGATTGTTTGTCTGCCAATATTGCATTAAATGATGTACAAAATAACCAAGCAATTGAGCAAGAAGGTAATAATCTTCCATTGGAAAATAAAACTCTTGATAACATTTTCTGTGTGTCCTTTCAAATAGAGAAAGCCCTACAAAACAGGCAAGAAGTGGATGTTCCAAACGAAGGAACCTATATTTAAAGGCCTGAATTCAAAATCCTTAAGGAGAACCATTATTTTGACACAGATTAGTAGCGAGCGAACAAATTTCAGAGACTTACGTGTATAGGTTGTCCACGTCTTTCCCTTCAATTTCTTCTCCTGGGGTAAAGGCATCTTTTAGAGTACATAATCGCTCCGCTGGATCCTCAATTGTAAGAAGATACTTTAAAATCCTAACCTCTTTAGGCATATTCCTCTGGAGGTTACCTCTTGCCGTCAAATATAAATGATACAGTATGTCTTTTACCTGTAACACAGCAAACCAGACTAGGACAATTAATAAGGTAGCAATTCAGCAACTCAAAGTTAGACATTACATACTTCTAGTCATCACATTCAAAAGGTAGTAACTGAAACCAGTCCAAGACTCCATGTTCTTCGTATGTCTGTATAGAATTCTTTAGACAAAGGACCACTTGGACTATTCTACAGTTATCCAAGAGTTGGTTGTCATTGTATGATAGCACCTCCACAATATCTTTCACTTCTTCCCAACATGAACACAAAGTTTTCTCTCCTCTTCCTCTTCCATGCAGGTTATTCTCTGTCTCATTCCTTCCCCACAAAATTATGGAGAAACTTAATTTCTGGAGTTACAGGCATATATTCTGCCATATTTTACAGGAATGGTTCACACAATTTAAACATCAAGAAACTTCTTCTGGTCTCAGCATCATAAAGCCATGAACACATGCATCTAATTATAAAATAATTGTACAAAGAGGGAGCCATTTTCAAGGACCAGTGGTCACTTTACCTCATCTTTTGTCATGTCTGATTCCTTAGCAGCTGACCAAGCTTTAGTGATCATCAGCACCAATGCTGAATCAAGCTGATTTTTCTCAGCCAGATTATCTATCTTTCTGCAAGCAGCCTCTATAGAAGGTGAATTGATAATATCTTGGAACTTCAACTCAGCAGCATTGAGTGCTTCAATGCTCTCAGTTGCAGTATCATAAGCTTGTACAGCAGCCAAGCACATGTTCCCCAGCTTCGCTAAAGCTGGTTATACAGACACAAAGGCACAGTTTCACCTTTTATCCACCAGACGAAATAAAAGAAATGACGATTGTATGCATGAATAGAGTATATGCATATTAAATCACATAACAATTCAAACATGAATAATTACTGATTTAAACAAGCAAAAAGTAATCCAACATTTAATATGTGCTACATAATAACCATGTAGTTATGTAGAATAGGCAAGAAACTTCTCATCCGAGTTGATTAAACCAGCCTAGATTACATATAGACAACTAAAATAAAAAATAAATCATACTTGGAAGACGACCTGTTCATCAATTTGCTCATTCATTACAAGTAGACATGTTCACAGGTATATAATGAGATGGTCAAAGACTTCAGCTTTTGTAATTCCCCTTATTGTCAGAAACATGCCATATACACACTTAGGCATATAATAATTTTAACACATTTGAGAAAAGTAAAAATTAATTAAAATAGCATCCAAAAGAAATCAACTAGTCTCACCGTTTTGCTCTGTTGGATTTTCATAATATGATTCTGCTACAGTGTGTAGATGCATAAAAAATTCTTTAGTGAAATCTTTACGGCGTCTAGAAACAATTTGACTTATTTCTTCTGATGGTGCTCCCTTGATGACTTCAAGAAGCTCATTGTGTCTTTGCACATCTTCATCAATCTGTGCAATAGAAACTTCCCATGAGCTAGCAAAACAACTAGAAGACACACTTAAGACAAAACCAGTAAGCATATCATGCCCCTAAATTATTAAAACAAATTCACAACAACAAAACTGAAGTTAAAAGTTCAACGATTGAGCCACCTCTTTCAGCTTGCGTCCAAGCCGAAGAAGTTTATGCTTAATTCCAGGGTTTTCCTCAGCATCGGCACGGTCCTGACAACGCTTGAAGAAATGAGAGCGTAGATTGTTCCATTCCTTGCTGAAAGCAAGCAACCTTCGCCAATCAGTCGGAGTGGGCTTATCAACCATGAAAACCTCAATGAGTTTGTCACATACTTTAATCATTTTGCCATCATCCAAGCTCTTAGTACCATCCTTCTCTTCACCATCTCTTGTAGGCTCCTCATGAATAGACGTGGTTTCAGCAGTTGTATCACCAACAACAGCAGCAATGGGGGAGTATCGGCTAAGCCTGATTGGATTAACAATAAAGGGACGACCTTATAAATCAAAACAGTATTTAATTAGCCACTGCCCATTATTAATTCAGCATAAATGTAGTAAAAAGGAACCTAAATCACTCCTAACTAACAAATATCGAGTAGAAGATAGTAGCACAAATATGAAGAAACCTAATTAAATTTATCCTTTTCAGTGAGTAATAGATTCCGAAAGTGATTGAAATTCATTCTTAACATTCAAAAGAAAAATTATACTACGGGAAAGTATGGACAAGAGTGGAGTAAATGAAAGAACGAAAAAGGAAGATACTTACATTTAAACTTATGAGAGAAACAATGAATTGGCTTTGAATTTCTTATTGACGGAAGAACAGCAGTCTTAGCTCGAGAATTTGTAAAAGGGAAAAGGTAAGAACCCTGTAACGTCACACAACCCAACTCCATCGCACCACAGGAACTCAGTGTACTTTCATAAATTAACACAAATCACCTTATTTTGAGACTTGATTGATGGGTCAAGCGTGTTTAAACGACTCCTCCTGATTTTTGGAAGGAATTTTTCCAATAGACCAAAATATCCCTGTATATGTCATGTTGGAAACTACTTATCGTGGCAGTGAACGACGTCGTACGCATCTCATGCAGAGGAAAGGGAAAATGGGACAGGAGAGTTAAAAACTAAAGCTGCAGCACTATATCAAAACCCAGGAGCGAAGCTGAGTGTCTATTAAAATTTTTCCATCATCATCAAAAAACGGTTCCTTCTTTCGCGGGAACTTTGAAGCAAACAGGCGATGCTCTCATTAACTTTCTTTTCGCCATACATCACTTTCTCTCCGCAACCTTCACTTCTCACCATTAAACCATTAAAATCTCCAAAAGACAAACATAACTCAGAAACGAGAAACACTGGTTATCATAACGACCGCTCAAGTTTCCATTGCTTTTCTAATAAAACCCCATCTTCTACCTCCCATTGTGACAACTCAAGCGACATTGTCGGTTTTCAACATAACCCAGATGCCGATTCTTCGGATACAGGCTCCGTGAGTCAATGCGTTGACTCTAACGAGCTTGCTGTTTGGCTTCAGAGATGTAATAGTGTAAAACAAGTTAAAAGAATACATGCTATTGCCTTAAAGTGTTTGAGTAACTCGGTGACTTATGTTGATAATAATTTGATTAGTGTGTATGTAAAATTTGGGAAACTAATTGAAGCTCGAAAAGTGTTTGACAAAATGCTGGAGAGGAACGTTGTTAGTTGGACCGCGATGGTTAATGGGTATTTGAAATTTGGTTTTGATGATGAAGCTTTAAGGCTCTTTAGTGAATCGATAAGAAGTGTGGTTCGAGCGAATGGGAAGATGTTTGTGTGTGTAATGAACTTGTGCAGTAGGAAGTTAGATTTGGTGCTGGGAAGACAAATTCATGCTTGTGTTGTAAAGGGTAATTGGAGAAACTTGATTGTGGATAGTGCGATTCTTCATTTTTACGCGCAACTTGGTGAATTGTCTTGTGCTTTTCGTGCCTTTGATGGGATGTCGGAGAGGGATGTGGTTTCATGGACGACTATTATTACTGCCTGCTCGCAACAAGGGCAAGGGGATGAGGCTTTTTTGATGTTTTCGCGAATGTTAATTGATGGGTTTTTGCCTAATGAGTTCACGGCGTGTAGTGTTTTGAAGGCTTGTGCAGAGGAAAAGGCACTAAAATTTGGGAGGCAGTTACACGGAGCTATAGTTAAGAAGACATATAACAATGATGTGTATATAGGAACTTCTTTAGTAGATATGTATGCAAAGTGTGGGGAGATTTTGGACTCTAGAAAGGTATTTGATGAAATGATGAATAGAAATACAGTTACATGGACTTCAATTATAGCAGGGTATGCTCGGAAAGGACTTGGTGAAGAAGCTATAAACCTTTTTCGAGTAATGAAGAGACGAAAAATAATTGCCAATAAATTAACTATTGTGAGCATCCTTAGGGCTTGTGGTCTGATTGGGGCTGTCCAGACAGGGATGGAAGTACATGCACAAATAATCAAGAATTGTATCCAAACTAATGTATACATAGGAAGCACTCTTGTGTGGTTTTACTGTAAAAGTGGGGAGTCCCCTACTGCATACAAGGTCCTCCAGCAGATGCCTCTTAGAGATGTGGTCTCATGGACAGCCATGATTTCTGGTTGCGCAAGTCTTGGTCATGAGTCTGAGGCTCTCGATTTCTTGAAAGATATGTTGGAGGAAGGTGTGGAGCCAAATCCGTTCACTTATTCTTCAGTTCTGAAAGCATGTGCTATGCTAGAAGATATTACGCATGGGAAATTGATCCACTCCTCTGTGAAGAAGACTACAGCATTCTCTAATGTGTTTGTGGGTAGTGCTTTAATTAATATGTATGCTAAATGTGGATATGTATTGGAGGCATCTCAAGTTTTTGACAGCATGCCTGAGCGGAACTTGTTCGCCTGGAAGTCTATGATTGTGGCCTACGCAAGGAATGGACTTTGCCAGGAGGCATTGAAGCTCATGTACCGGATGCAAGCAGAAGGATTTGAAGTAGATGATTATATCCTTACGACAGTTTATAATGCATGTGGAGATATTGAGTGGGATATGGAGCTTTCATCTGGATGTTGCTTGCAGTCTAGTTGACCTTTGCCTAATCAGAAGTTCAGATGATTGCTTGAACTGTTTATGAATGGATGATGCTTGTGCAGATCACAGATGTTCCATCAAATTCTTTCGTATATATCACATGGATTCTAGCAAATATAAAGGGTTGATCAGTTTCAAGTACCCCCATGTCCTCAGAAACCAGAATCGATCCTACCTCCTATTTGATGATAGCCTGGTACTGGTCTGTCTTACACAGAAGGTATGAAGTTAGTACACAGACAGGATGTCCTTACTCTTTTTGCTTTACTTAGAGAAGGTGGTTTGTCCGGCCCTGTTTCTTGGATCTGTAATATAAGGGTCCTAAGAGATCCTTTTGGGAATCATGAACGTCTGTGATCCATGCTAATAACATGGATATTGGATATAGTGCAAACCTGCTGTGTATCAGCTATGTAAATGGAAACTTTACGTTCATTACAAGTCAGAAAGATATATTGTATGCAAGATAGTCTTCCAACTTTATCTACTTTTCACGACATTATTTTGGTTCTATTGTCCTATGTAAAGTTAATACGGGAAAGTTACATAATCGGTTAGAACATGTATATTTTCTCAAGTTAAAAGAATTCATTCTGTGTACTAATATGAGATAAGCTCATTTTTTTTCCTCTCTTATGCAATTTCGGCAGTACCAACCAAATTGATCATCCGCATAACTATCGTGCCCATTCAGTGCAAATAAATTGCTAACTGTTCAAGACTTATAATCTGGGTAAAATCTTAATGTTGGGAGACAATTAAAAGGGTGGGGCTCGTTTGACTTGTTTCTAAGAAAGTCCATACGCAAGGTCCACACACGTTCAAAAGTCTAATCCAAATTCAGAAATTTATACATTTGCAGCCCACAGACTTCCCGCTCCCGGCTCCTCCCGCTTCTCCCGATATAGCTGTGGGGTCATCCAACCGGAGCACTTGAACGAAAGAGGATGTTTGGAGAGTTCACTTATGTTTTTGGTTGGTGCACATACTCGCTTTCAGCTATTCAAAATGGTCTATTAAGGGGCAACCAGCGACCACCTTGCAATCTCAAGCAGCCATTTGGTGCAAAAGATAAACGTTCACAGGTATAGTTCAGTTCAATGAGTCTTTATTTAATGAATGAAACTCACTCTTTTTTCTGATAAATAATCATGCTATGCTAGTACTAGTTATGAAACCTACACTTTTGATCTGCCTTTTATTCTTTATTCATATGTTTTATTTGGGATTAGATTTTGTTTGTGGTGAATAGATGAATAGGTTTATAATCATCTTCTTTTTCAGGGCTTATGGGAGGTTCAGTTAGCAAGTAATTTTATTAGACTCATTTTTCTCACCTTAGTGTTGCTTATACTTTGCCAATTCTACTTCTTATCAGGTGTCTCTTCCCGACCCAGAGCCTCCAATTCACTTTGCACTGGTTTATGGTACCCGATCTGGTCCTGCTCTTCAATGCTACTCGCCAGGGAACATTGATCAGGAGTTGATGGAGGCAGCCCGTAATTTTCTAAGAGGTGGAGGAGTTACTGTTGATTTGCAAACCAAAGTTGCATGGATTAATAAGATCCTTAAATGGTAACCTCCCTCTTTTAATGTCACCATATATACGTTCCTAGAGAACTTCAGTTTGCAGTCTCCCCTCTCCTCTCACATGAAAACATACAAATGCACCCTTGCACTTTGATACTTGTGGATAGTGCGATTCTTCATTTTTACGCGCAACTTGGTGAATTGTCTTGTGCTTTTCGTGCCTTTGATGGGATGTCGGAGAGGGATGTGGTTTCATGGACAACTATTATTACTGCCTGCTCGCAACAAGGGCAAGGGGATGAGGCTTTTTTGATGTTTTCGCGAATGTTAATTGATGGGTTTTTGCCTAATGAGTTCACGGCATGTAGTGTTTTGAAGGCTTGTGCAGAGGAAAAGGCACTAAAATTTGGGAGGCAGTTGCACGGAGCTATAGTTAAGAAGACATGTAAGAATGATGTGTATATAGGAACTTCTTTAGTAGATATGTATGCAAAGTGCGGGGAGATTTTGGACTCTAGAAAGGTATTTGACGAAATGATGAATAGAAATACAGTTACATGGACTTCAATTATAGCAGGTTATGCTCGGAAAGGACTTGGTGAAGAAGCTATAAACCTTTTTCGAGTAATGAAGAGACGAAAAATAATTGCCAATAAATTAACTATTGTGAGCATCCTTAGGGCTTGTGGTCTGATTGGGGCTGTCCAGACAGGGAGGGAAGTACATGCACAAATAATCAAGAATTGTATCCAAACTAATGTATACATAGGAAGCACTCTTGTGTGGTTTTACTGTAAAAGTGGGGAGTCCCCTACTGCATACAAGGTCCTCCAGCAGATGCCTCTTAGAGATGTGGTCTCATGGACAGCCATGATTTCTGGTTGCGCAAGTCTTGGTCATGAGTCTGAGGCTCTCGATTTCTTGAAAGATATGTTGGAGGAAGGTGTGGAGCCAAATCCGTTCACTTATTCTTCAGTTCTGAAAGCATGTGCTATGCTAGAAGATATTACGCATGGGAAATTGATCCACTCCTCTGTGAAGAAGACCACAGCATTCTCTAATGTATTTGTGGGTAGTGCTTTAATTAATATGTATGCTAAATGTGGATATGTATTGGAGGCATCTCAAGTTTTTGACAGCATGCCGGAGCGGAACTTGTTCACCTGGAAGTCTATGATTGTGGCCTACGCAAGGAATGGACTTTGCCAGGAGGCATTGAAGCTCATGTACCGGATGCAAGCAGAAGGATTTGAAGTAGATGATTACATCCTTACGACAGTTTATAATGCATGTGGAGATATTGAGTGGGATATGGAGCTTTCATCTGGATGTTGCTTGCAGTCTAGTTGACCTTTGCCTAATCAGAAGTTCAGATGATTGCTTGAACTGTTTATGAATGGATGATGCTTGTGCAGATCACAGATGTTCCATCAAATTCTTTCGTATATATCACATGGATTCTAGCAAATATAAAGGGTTGATCAGTTTCAAGTACCCCCATGTCCTCAGAAACCGGAATCGATCCTACCTCCTATTTGATGACAGTCTGGTGCTGGTCTGTCTGACACAGAAGGTATGAAGTTAGTACACAGACAGGATGTCCTTACTCTTTTTGCTTTACTTAGAGAAGGTGGTTTGTCCGGCCCTGTTTCTTGGATCTGTAATATAAGGGTCCTAAGAGATCCTTTTGGGAATCATGAACGCCTGTGATCCATGCTAATACCATGGATATTGGGTATAGTGCAAACCTGCTGTGTATCAGCTATGTAAATGGAAACTTTACGTTCATTACAAGTCAGAAAGATATATTGTATGCAAGATAGTCTTCCAACTTTATCTACTTTCACGACATTATTTTGGTTCTATTGTCCTATGTAGAGTTAATACGGGAAATTTACATAATCGGTTAGAACATGTATGTTTTCTCAAGTTAAAAGAATTCATTCTGTCTACTAATATGAGATAAGCTCTTTTTTTTCCTCTCTTATGCAATTTCGGCAATACCAACCAAATTGATCATCCGCATAACTATCGTGCCCATTCAGTGCAAATAAATTGCTAACTGTTCAAGACTTATAATCTGGGTAAAATCTTAATGTTGGGAGACAATTAAAAGGGTGGGGTTCGTTTGACTTGTTTCAAAGAAAGTCCATACGCAAGGTCCACAGACGTTCAAAAGTCTAACCCAAATTCAGAATTTATACATTTGCGGCCCACAGACGTCCCGCTCCTCCCGATGTAGCTGTGGGGTCATCCAACTGGAGCACTTGAACGAAGAAAAACACTATGCTTACTCACCACTTGTACTAACTGCCATACAATCTTTGTTAAAATTTTACATGGTACCCGTACTATGCGTATAGTACCAGTACTATGCGTTATATTTGTAAAGGATAGTAAGATGGTTAGTAAGATGGTGAGTAAGTATAGTATGGTTCCTTGAACGAAAGAGGATGTTTAGAGAGTTCACGTATGTTATTGGTGGGTGCACAACTGCACATTCTCGCTTTCAGCTATTCAAAATGGCGTATTAAGCGGCAACCAGCGACCACCTTACAATCTCAAGCAGCCATTTGGTGCAAAAGATAAACGTTCACAGGCATAGTTCAGTTCAATGAGTCTTTATTTAATGAATGAAACTCAACTCTTTTTTCTGATACATAATCATGCTATGCTAGTACTAGTTATGAAACCTACACTTTTGATCTGCCTTTTATTCTTTATTCATATGTTTTAGTTGGGATTAGATTTTGTTTGTGGTGAATAGATGAATAGGTTTATAATCATCTTCTTTTTCAGGCTTATGGGAGGTTCAGTTAGCTAGTAATTTTATTGGACTCATTTTTCTCACCTTAGTGTTGCTTATACTTTGCCAATTTCTACTTCTTATCAGGTGTCTCTTCCCTACCCAGAGCCTCCAATTCACTTTGCACTGGTTTATGGTACCCGATCTGGTCCTGCTCTTCAATGCTACTCGCCAGGGAACATTGATCAGGAGTTGATGGAGGCAGCCCGTAATTTTCTAAGAGGTGGAGGAGTTACTGTTGATTTGCAAACCACAGTTGCATGGATTAATAAGATCCTTAAATGGTAACCTCTCTCTTTTAATGTCACCATATATACGTTCCTAGAGAACTTCAGTTTGCAGTCTCCCCTCTCCTCTCACATGAAAACATACAAATGCACCCTTGCACTTAGGAGTGGACCCAGAAATTCAAGTTAGGCTTGGATCAATTAGGTTAGTATCATAATTGATTAAATTTGATGTTAAATAAATAAAAAAATAAAAAAATATAGATGTAAAAGAAAATCTTGGGCCCTGGCGATGCCCCTGCATGCACCACTCACAAGAAGGAAGTTCAAAACTTTGCACCATCATCTGAAGCTTATATTTACAGTATTAACACCTACAAACCTTCATGGATTAATTGGCTATAATAGTCACACGCACAAATGTATTTTGATTTTATGAAGTATTTTATTTTGAAGTTGTAATGGTAATACCCATGCATTTACAGTTCAGTTTACGCATGTTGTTTAGTTATTTATGTCCTTCTAAATTCAGGCACAGGTTTAGTGCGCATTTCGGCAAGAATGAGGCAGAGGTACTGAAGCATGCATAATTAAGTGTTGCTTATTACATTGAAAAACCTTGAAATATACACATGTTCTAGTAGCAGTTGAGAAGTTCCCATGTCTCTGCGGTTTACTACTTAATTTACTTTGTGATCCCCTCATTACCTGCCAAGATCATGTACTTGTCTTTCCGCGTAAGACTGGTGCACTCAAATCCTAAAGCTTTGCCAATCTTGTTCTGCACATAATTGGCAACTTCAATCCTCGATTTCCCGCCGGAGTTACATGTTTGGGAAGAGGGTAGCTTCTCAAGAATCGTGGCAGAGTACATAGCAAATGGATTGAGTAAGTTATATATAGAGTCTAACCATTTGAATCCACTGGCTGTCGATCCATAAAACATGCTAACCTGCATATCTATAGCCACAGGAACAATCTCATCAGTCATCTCTGCAAACAGAGGACTAAACCTCAATAGATATGGCTCCCTACAAGTGGTTCCTTCAGGGCAAACCGCAAGGTCGCCTCGGCTTAACTCTTGTTCCATTATTTCCTTGTCTTTCTCCCGATCTCTTGTTAATCCGACGGTCTTGATCGGAGACATGATCTCAGTGAATCTGCTGGTACTGTAAGTGACTGCAGTGACGGGTTTCATGATAAAAATTGAAACATAAATTGGGTCCAAGAGTGTTCTGTGGTTACAAACATAGAGGAGACCAGTAGGTTTGTTATCATAATTGGTAGAATTAATTGAGGAGGGGTTGGATATTGATAGAGTGGATTTAAAGCCAGTTGAAGAATTGACAAGATTGACAATGGAGAGAGGTAATAAGGTGCCAGAGGTAAATCTGATAATGGAAACAAAGATTCCGAGAGGAAGCCACATGAACATGAATAGGGAGGCAAGTGGGGTTGGCCTGAAAGCCAATCTTCCGTCATGAAAGATCAGAGGCTTTGGGTATTTTTCCCTCGGGAGGATTTCCCACTTCCTTTTCTCTGCTTCTGTCACCCAGTATATTTCCTGTTGCATTTTCACACACCAAAGCTTTAGGTGATATTTTATACATGTATCACAGGAAGATTGAGAGAGTGTAAAAAATAGTGAGAAACTAAATGTTGCAAGTGTTTCTTTTCGTGAGTATTTATAAATAATGTGATGATGTCTATACAAAGTTGATATAGTAACTACTTTTCGTGATATTTATAAATTAATAATGCTATCCTTACTCACGTACTTACTAACCATATTACTTACCTTTGTAAATATAAAACATAGTAAAGGTACCATAAGTACAGTACGGATACCATATATAATTTTAATAAAGGTGAGTAAGGTGGTTAATAAGTTCGTAAATAAAGATAACATTATTGTTTATAAATAATGTGATGATGTACATACAAACTACAAAGTTGATATAATAACTAATGCGATTACTGAATTGACAGTCCCATATTAATTGTGAGAACACAAGAAGTTTCATAAATCTTACCAAAGTACAATAAACAATTTTGTCTAGCAAGAGTTAAATATATATCACAAGGTTTTTAAAACCTGTTCCGGTGTGAAAATCGACTAAGTGGTCGGGTCTTGAGTTCACTGGTTGAACTGGTTTGACTGACGGGTCAAAACGGTGACATCAGCATACCCAAAAGTTTGAAATCCAGCAAAAACATCCCTAACAAATGACATATAAATCTCTACAGATTGAAATCCTACAAAAACACCCCAAATTACACCATCGCGTCGACAACCTCAAGCCAAATAGGGCCTCTTTCCGACATCAACAACACCCCATCATCACCACGAAAACTTTCCCCTCAGCCTCCTGACCAAAACCCATCTCACCTTACCCTAGCGGTTTTTAGTCGTTTCACTCACCAGAAATCACCTCTGTCACCACCTTTCGACTCATCGGCCCTTCCTCTTCAAAACCTCCAACATCCCAGCCACCAATTACTTGCCTATCGTCGTCCTCCTCTCTAAGGTTTGCCATGAACAGTCAAAATTGATAACCCAACCCAGTGAAGGCCCCAAGTCTCAGTTAACTAGTCGAGGTTTAAAAAAAAGATATATCACTTTGGAAAATTACCCTAACAAAGTTTATATGGGGTAATCTTATGGATGAAAGTTATTCCACTTTAAAAAAAAAAAAAAAAAAAGCATAATAAGATCCTTCAAATTTCATAAAGTAAAAAAAAAAAAAAAAAAAGCTATCTTATGGATGAATCGTAGTATTATTCTTTTTTAAATCAAATTAACACATTTGTCAACAACTAGAGAAGGATGCATCTGTGAAGACTGTAATTACACCAAAGAAAGGAATAAAATTAATGATATAATTTAAACAAAATGGAACAAAGTTGGAGACGATCGAACCTTGCAATATGAAAAGAGATGGTCATCAAAAGCCTTATATTCGAAGCACCCAATACCAATAGCATAACCACCCATTTTCCCATCACCATGAAACTCTTTTAAAACAACTGGATTTCCCTTTTTTCCCTCCATTAAACCCAAAAAATACCCACAAAATACCTTCAATTCTCTCCCCTCAACACCATCAACTCTTAAATAATCTTTCACAAAACACTCCACCATAATTCTAGGCATCTCACTCACTGCTATCTTCCTTTTATCACCATAATTCATCACCGCATTAAACCCTTCATTTCCAACGTCTTCCAACAGAAACTTGGGCAAAACTGAACTTCCAATTCTAAACTTGTCACTTTTTATCCCAACAAAACTTACAAAAACCATAATATTCAGGCCTATTTGTTTCTCTCCAAACAGCCAAACCAAAGGGTACAAAAGAAACAATATGAGAACCCTTAAAAGCCCTCCACCTTCGAAGGCCACAAGCATGAAGTATGGAAAAAGTGAAGATGACTTCAACAGTGCAGCCTCTAAGTGAAACACCAGGCTGGTTATTTGTTCTGATTTGATATTATTATGGGGAAGAGAGGTGAATTTCTGAAACATTGAGTGGGTCGCATGGCCTTTTCTGAACCTAAATTGAAGAGAAGATGGATTTGTTTGTCTTTTGAATTGGAATTTTGACAAGAACGAAAGAAGTTTACGTGGAAAAAACTTTGCAGCTGCCATATAGGTTCTTCTATGCGTCTTATTTTTTGCCATGAACAAAGGTGTGGAGCTCTCTATATAAGTTAGAAGTTATTAATTAATAGGCTACCGTACTGGGTGCTTAATTACTGGGGTTGCGTAACGGTACCAAATGCCTACTAATTTGTGAAGGCTTAAGGGACCGTTCAAATGGTAAATAACATAAAGTAGTGTATCTTAGAAAGAGGTTTGACGTATGGCTTTAATTAAAGAAGAAAACAAAGTAGGATTTGGTAAATACGTGTTAGAATCGCCAAATATTGTAGTATTAAATGCAACCATATTTGAGAGTCTAGTTAAAATGATAAATAATATTAATTTTGTTGAACGTAATGTGTTAATGAGATGAATCAGAATAAATCACGTATATTATTATTTTTTACTGTTTATAATTTGTATGTTTACTGTTTCCTTAGTTTTTCTATTAACCACTATTTCATTCAATAAGTAGTACGGTTAATAAATTTTCAGGATTATTAAAATAAGAGAGGGTATTATGATAAAAGAAGACAAAATGGTGGGGTTAAACGTCTATCGTCATTAAATTTGAAATTGACGTTGACGTACTTGACAAGTAAATGACGAAGCAGAATTTGCTGGCAAAGTTGAGTGGCCCAACAACATGTCATCCTGGTCTATATCTGTGGCCCATTGGGCCCCTAATTTTGCCCTAAGTCAATGTCATACGATTTGAGAAATCAGAATACCTATTTTATATCAATAAAATTATGCTTACTCACAATCTTACTAATCATTAGAGATGACAATAGATCTGATATTTTTGGATACCCAGCCTAGTCCAGCCCGAAAGAAGCAGGCTTTACCAGAGGTTGAAAGAGGCAGGCTTGGGCCTGGACTTGATTTTAAGGCCCGACCTCGGATACGGGCCAGGCATGGGTACATCTTTAGGCCTGGCCCGGCCCAGCCTGTCCCGAAAATTTTAGTATTAATTTTACTAATTTACCCTTATACTATATATTTAATTACAATATTATCCTATATATATCTATTTTTCCCAAACTCTAACCTCAATTTTTATCCCATATTGAAGGTTTAACATGTTAAAATTACATTTAAATGAGTTTAGATGGGTTTGGTTCAACTTATAAAGTGGATTTCACCATAACATATTATGCACAGCTGAAAAGTTAGTATAATCAAATATTATGGAGTTTTAATTGCCAATTATTGCTTAAATTATTTGCGAAATAGCTTCAATTAATATTAAAACTATTTCTAAATTAAAAAAAAAAATTGAAATTTATTAATATTTAAAAATAACTCTTAAAAAAGGTGGGCTTGGGCCGGGCCCATGGTTATAAAAACCCGTCGGCCGGGCTGGGCTTTGCCTATCATACCCGTAGCGGGCTCGGGCCGGGCTTGGGCCGTGTCTGAGGTCGGGCTTGGGCCTGGGCCAAGGGATACCCTGTCCCGGCCCGGCCCATTGCCATCACTACTAACCATCTTACTATCTTGATAATATAATGCATAGTATGAATACTATGCATATGATACCCTACATGCCGTTATATTTTCCAGGATTGTAAGATGTTAGTAAGATTGTGAGTAAGCATAGCATTACTCATTTTATATATAAATGTAATACGATTTGAGGAAGGGTATGCATGGGTACTAATAGATTCTAGAAACTGTATACTAACTTAAAATAATATGGTCTCCAGCGCATAGTATGGGTACTATGTGTGGATTTTAACAAAGGTTAGTACATTGGTTAGTAAATCCGTTAGCACGCACAGTATTATTCTTGAGGAATCATGAATACTTGTTCAATAATACTAGTCTACGGCTTTCTCTCACAATCTATACGTGACAATTCATTATTGATTACTCACATAGCAACGAGACCCATTTTACAAGCTCAATAATAATTTATCACTGGGGAGTTATGAGATTAAATTTGACCTAGTATTACTCATATTTGTTTTAACCCCAAGAGTTGTCTGACAGTAAAAAAGTTTGCTCCTTTCATTACTCCTGAGTTCGAATCTTGGAGTCTTACACATTGTAACTTACCTGATTCTTTTGGCTTGTAGGTGTTTAATGGATCCCAATGATTAGTTGAGGCGTGTACAAGCTGGTCTGGACACTCTGATTACCCAAAAAAAAAAAAAAAAAAAATGTGATATTGTCTTCATCCCTAAACTAATTTTTGAATGCATCTAAATGTATAATATTAAACATAGGTACATAGAATAGTAGAGAACGACAATGATAATAATCTATGCCAACGCCAATGAATTAAGTTGAATTGGAATCAAAGCAATCCTTTGACCATTTTATGTTTCAATTAGTAACTTTTTTCATAGATGATTATTAACATATATTTTTAGACAGAATTTCCCTGGTTCTCATATAATTTTGTTGGATCATATATGTATACTACTAGATCTAAGTTTGTAAATAACATTTCAGCCCAATAGATAAAGAGTAATGCTATACTTACTCACAACTTACTAACTCTTACAATCCTGAAAATAACGGCATAGTACAGGTACCATACGCATAGTACCTGTACTATGCCGTTATATTTATCAGGATAGTAAGATGGTTAGTAAGATTGTGAATAAGCATAGTTTTATTGTAAGATAAATATAATGAAGTATAAACATGATCCTTATATATAATATGTAAATTTAAGGGGGTGTTTGTCTAAGCTTATAAGCTGGTCAAACTAGCTTATAAGTTTTAAAATTAAGCTGACATGTTTGTTTATAACATTTTTTAGCTTATAAGTTGAGCTTATAAGCTAAAAAAAAAAGTTGAGGGAGAGGTACTTTTTTTTTTTTGGTTTATAAGCATTCTGCTTATAAGCTAGTTTGACAAAGTATATTATCACATTATCCTTGTTTAATTTTAAAATTTCTTAGTATACCCTTGTTTAATGTAGTACATTTTTTAGTCATTTTATAATAAAATATACTTATAAGCCACATTTTACCAAACACGTCAACTACTTATCAGTCATTTATAAGTATTTTAATCAAACACGTAATTGCTTAAAATTTTAAATACTTATAAGCTAAGTGTTTATAAGTTAATTTTCATAAGCTCAGACACCCCGTAAGTTGTTTTGTTGTAGGTGTGTTTTCAAAACAATAAATTGCAAATGAAGATGCAACAGGTTGGTGAAGGCATTAATTTCAGCCAGATTCATAACCCCCAACTTAAACTGCAGGAAGTGGCAGTGGACATGAATTGGACAATTGTATTTGTCAGGGACCATCAATAAATACATTATCTAATTACGGCCGACGTGTTATCATTTCGCTTGTGTTGCGTTGCCCAAAACATCATTTTCAATTAATGTTGCTCCTCTTTTGAAATGCATGGCTAAAAGGGGTAATGGGCAATTCTGTTTTCCTATTTCGAAAAGTTTTGCCCTTAGATTTGGTTTAGAATTTAATATCCAAAAGTTACGTCGCTCTCCTTTTGGTTGTGAGAATTACAGTTGAAATCAAATAAGACGATGATGTATTGACAGGCTACTACCACTTTGATTATGAAAATCACTCTTAATTATGAGCTCCCAGTTCCTACATGTGCCTTCTTAAATACTGGTACTGAGATCAGTAGCAGGAATACCAACACTCTTCATCTTCATTCATTAATAAGATTAAAACTGTACCCTTATCTAACAGGGATCCAGTGTTCAAATAAAAAGTTTCAATATCATACTTGCAGATATAAAATTTCAAGCTTTGGGTACATAAGATTACGTAAATGTCAAGGAAGTTCATTGTAGCTTAATGGAAGAACTAATGTGAGGTGACATTTATATTAGGAATTAATTTGGAAGGTTATATAAAAAAAAAAAAAAAAGGAAGGTTATATAAAAAAAAAAAAAAAAAAAAAAAATACAATGCAGCTTGAAAATTTTGGGCTAAATGGTGATCTTGAATTCATATGGCCTGCATTCAGTTGCTTCATGGTACAAAGTAGATGAAAAATTTCATGCCCAGCTGAATAATTTTGGAAAATACATCCAACATTGAGTGAAAAAAGTACATCCAACCACTTCTATGAAAGGAACAATCCTTTATTTTGCACATAATGGTGAAATAGATGACACAGTAGCACCAGATACATACCCCAGCAGGGAGCAAGTTCACTCCCAAGGGTTCAGAGTTTGCTGAGCCTGTTCCTAAACAACAAAAATCACTGTGTATTCTACAAGTTCTCCAATGTAACAGGAGAATGGATTCATGATGACGTTTTCTCAAGAATGATACACCAGTTCGATTTGTCATAAAATCGATCGACTACTACTGCATTGTCCATATCAGACACCAATCTGCAGAAGATAATGCAAAATGTATGAGCATGCAAGTAATAGTTGGATCAGTAGGACACATCAAATAATAGTGAAATACAGTACAATGCAAAAGTGGCAAAGATGAAAGACAAAGCATACTGCTTGATCAATTGCACTTATGAAGCAGCTCAGAAAAAACTTGATCGCACATGTTGAGAAGTTGTGAGAATGAGACAGCAAATAAATGTGGCCATTCCCTTCCCTACTCCAAATTAGTTAAATTCCCTTTATTTATTAAATTTTCACAAACTGCCTCTTTTTTCAGCATAACAACTTCTGACAATATCATCAGCAAAAATTGATCCATATATCTGTCGCTAATGACAATTAAAATGAAAACAAAGGGGCATTATTTTTTTTTATTTGAGCTTTACTTGATTTTCATTCTCACCTTCAAACTTAAAGAAAACACATTTCTAATTTCTCCACTACTTTTCAGAAAACTTCTCGTACTGAAGTTCATTATAACAGTCAAAATCTTCCATATCATGCTGTTGTGTTAAAAAAATTTCTGCTCAGTTACAAAATTAGATAAAGAATCTAGGAAAGTGGTGAATAACAATCCATTAGATAAAGAATCTAGGAAAGTAGTGAATAACAATCCATTAGATCCAAATAACTGCATTTGCTAATGAAAATAATGAGTACCTTTCAAGTTCGCCTGCAGTGAAGACATGGTAATATCGGCTGTACACCACGGCACCCTTTTTATCATCTTTCTTGGCCAGGCCATTTGCAAGAGCACTAGCAGAAGCACCACTGACTTCAGCACGGTGATAAGGCAAGTGCCAAGGGACAAAATATTCTTGTTGATCGTTGATGGTTTTTTCATCTTCAGAAACCACCGAATTATCTTCACTTTGAGAGGTTAAACACAGAGATTCCCACAACTTGTCAGTTAATCTCTCCTTGGATTTTTTTACATGGTCTCCCACACCATGTTCCTCTGTTTCAGGAATACTTTCTAATGTTGAGGAAGAGGGGCTACGGATATGAGGACTGCCCGGTCCTATCCACTCTTCCACATACTTTTCAGAAAGTGGCGTCCATTTGGTAACTAAAGATCTATCCTCTTGTTCCACAGCCCAGACTGTTATTAGAACCAGACCACCCTTTTTGACAACCCGAACTAATTCTTCAATTGCTTTCTTTCTCCTATTTTCAGTACTTAGGTGATGTAATACAGCTATAGATATCGCCGCATCACCATAACCAGTTCTGTAGGGAAGGTTTACAGCATCTGCAACCAAAACCTCGTGCCCTCTATCTGCACAAATTTTAATTAGGGGAGGACTTATATCACAACCCAAAAAGAAGCAATTTGGATTTAAACCAAAGTATTTCCCATTTCCACAGCCTGCATCCAAGACAAGCGAACCTGAAGGCAAGGAGTTTAAAAAAGTGGCAACTTTTGGCCACTTAGCAAAACGAGTTGAACTAAAATGGGGGGCAATAGCATCATAAACATGATGTACATACTTCTTCTCCAATTCAGGGGTGGATTTTACACTTGAGGATGAGCACCTCCGGTCCTCACTTACAGAAACAGATTCCTGAATGTTTGATTCCCCAACAGCACCCAGAGTACACAAACTAGAGGAACCTTTAACTTTAACTTCTCTCATGGTTCTGGAAATTAATGGAAGACAAACACTATTAATATTGACAAAGGATAGAGGACAAGTCTTGCAAAACTTATAGAAACATCTACTTTCTCTCAGAAACATAAAAAACCATCAGCTTGAAGCATAGAACCTAATCAGGCATAGTGCTGCAAAAAGACCAAGGATAGTAATTATTAATTTTTTACTTTCACAAGAGTCTAGGAATAAAGTTGCAAATACTGTTATAACAATATGCAGCTATCTGCTATAATGTGCAAATAACTTCAGTTTAATATGCCATGATATAAATCAAATCTAATAAACAAACTAAGCAAATTGTTGGATACAGCAAAACTATACATGAACCATAAAAGTATAATTTCTATGTAAGCAACATCAAACACAAGACAAGATTCTTAACTTCCATTACCATGTCTCCAGTCAATTCATATAGACCATCTGCTTTCCTTCCCATGGTCTTCCCAAAACCATGGATATAAGTTCATCCTACTAACTAAAATTTATATGTTAGGGATAGGAATTATAGGTTCAATCACTCCAGCTAACAGTACTTATCTCATCATAAATCCTAAAGCCAGCTTTCCTACCAAGAAAAAGCTGGCCGTGAGACAAAAAAAGAAAGGCATGCATTTTCATAAGGGGCGAAGATACCCATAAAAATATAGCGAAAGACCAACATATTTTTCCTTATTCCCACACTTTTATCTGCTATTTGAACTCGCTTCTGTTTATATTGAACATTGTAGAGTATACAGTTCTTCCACAACCACAACATAAAACACAGTAATGCTAAGAAAAGAAAGAATGAAATGTCATTTTTCTTGCTTCAGTACATAATGTAAATGCATCAATTACAACTAACTTTCTGTCTCTGTACGTCAAACTATGCAATGTCTTTCAGTTTCTCCCCCTCTTGCTCACTCTTAAAAGCATGGGATACAGTACAATAAAAATGTTTCAATCTTATGTTTTACAATGCCCAATTTCAAACCCATTAAATCAACTAAGCCAATTAAACTGTTTGATCAATCTTTATCACATTATTGAGTTCAAAAATTAAGCTCAATCCAACCATTTCCTAACTTCAACCAAATAGGGTTTGCTAATTCCAAAGTAATACTAAACAAAACTCCGAAATTGAACTTCATTTCCTTCCCACGTCTTTCAGAAAGCCAAACAGAGCTTAAACAAATGCCAAAGTACATTAAGTTATTAACAACATTAACAAAATAAAAAATAAATCCCAAATTTATTATCCTTATCAAGAAACAATACAACCGTTTTATACATCAATTGATTAAATTTCCATTTTTCACTTCAGATTACAGTTAGCAAGTAGCAATTCGATTCCATTTGAAGCTAAAGAATGCAATTTTTTGGTATGTTTGACTGCGAACCAAATCTTGGGTTTTGAAATTGTGAAAATAAACAATCAGATAAGGATATGCGGTATCATAAGTGCATATCTATAGGTAAGAAATTTACCTGATCGAATGGAGATGGCATCGATGTGGGTTATTACCGTGAGGTGTTTGTACGGAGTTACGGGTTTGAATTAGGGCTTTAGGAGAAGAAAGATAGAGACATTCTGGTGTGGAGAATATTACCAGGAGGTAACAGCTTTATGATAATCAGTATGAGCTCTCCTCTAGCTACCGTCGGATTTAACATTTTTTTCAGTTTTGTTTATTAGTTGTTAGTTGCCGTTGGATTGGCATATTTTTTATTTTTGGATAAGAGATTCTATTTGCTGAAAAATTTCGTTGACCTGATTGGCTTTGGAATAAATTAATTTTTTTTTCTTAAAATTGCGTAATAGGGTAGTCAATGATATTGAATGTATTTTTATTTTTCTCAAAAAAACAAGTGGGCTATAATTTTTTTTTTCTTTTCAAATTGTTATAAATTAATGTCATTGAATGTGAAAATTGGATTAAAATCCATAGAAATATTAGAAATATTTTTTAAAATATATTAGAATATTAGTTTGACTTGAAAAAAAACATGTAAATTGATTAAAATAAACTTGTTATATTGCTGAATTAAACTACATAATGCTGAAATAAGAGGACAAGAAGATAGTGATGAAATATTCCAAACTATGATGAACTAAAAAATTATATATCTTCGAGACTTTAAGGATTTACATATATTGTTAGGTGATATGCATGATTGATTAAAACGGAATAAACAATTCAAAGGGTATGTTTATTTTTAATTGATTAATCATAGACTTTTGGAAAATTTTAACCATGTGTTAAAGCAGACTTTTCTAACCTCAAATCAAATGCATGGTTCAGATTCAAGATTTTCATAGCTTCTTCCTCTTTGTCTTGTTTTGTAGTTTTTCTTCATTGCTTTAGTTATGTTCAACTGATGGGTTATATTATGTTATCCACATAGTGAGGTAACTTCAAGGAAAGGGAGACCGTTAGCGTATGCTTTTAGTCAGTAGCTAGTCATGAATATTCTCAAGGAAACTTTCGGAGAAATGTTTGCTCAAGTCACTTGGAAGTTGCTTAGCAGGAGAAATTTATCAATTATACAACCATGAATTTACGTAAAAATAAAAATAAAGGTTTTTTTTTTTTTTTTTTTATCGGTGTCTGATTTAGTTTGAGTGTACTTCAACTAATCTTGGAGACCCTAAAGTTAACCGTCAAATAAATCTTTAGTAATCATCCTTAAAGTGAGTCAAACTTATGACCTCTTGAATAATAATTCAAAAATCTCTATTCAACCACCTTATCATCGATGAGTGGTTAGAGTACTTCAATATTAGTTGTGGACTCATTCGTCTGCATGTGTAATATAAGTGGCGGACTTTTTGTTAAAGACAGCATCACCATGAATCAACTGTTCAATATTTGATTGGCCGAATAACATCCTCCCAGCCAAAGTTTGCATTAAAGACAATTCACTACCTGAAAAGTTTCAAAATGACAATTATACACTTTCCATTAATTTCATCCGTTAAATATAACTGAAGAGGGATAGAATAGTAATTTCAAAAACAATAATTACGTCACTTTACCTCTATACATAACCAAAAAAAAGAAAAACCCTACTCCCGTCTTCATCTTCTTCATCTCCCCCCATACGGCTAAATCGCACCCGGCCGGATGCATTTGACCGGAATCACGCCGGCCGGTGCGATTTGGCCGGATTGACATGGTATATTCTACACTCACAGCTTTTTCTTCTCCTCCTTCTTCACTCCCATTTTCTTCAAAACTACTATCATAACTTCTTTTCTAATAATAAATTTATGGGTGTGTGATTTTATTTTTTCTAATATGATTTGCTTTGGATTATTGGTCTATGACTATGGTGTTGAAATGAATTTATGATTTTAGTATTAAATGTTGTGAGATCATGATGATGACTGATGACTGATGAGTTTATGATTTTGTTGCTTGAATGCAGCGGATCGTGAATGTGTTTATGTCCAGTCGGGGGTGCTTTGGATGTGGGCTGGTGTTTGTTGTTGGCAGGCTGGGTGTGTGGGTTTTAGGCTTCTGTTTTTCGATCTGTCTAGGTTGGCAGTGGGGTGTTTTGCTCTTGTCCTTTTCTGGCAGGTCTGGTTTTCTTATACGGGCCGCTGCTCTTGGGGGTTCTGAGGGATTCGCTGGTGAGTGCAGCAGCGGTATCCGTAGTAGGCAGGCTTTGCCCTGTCTGCTATTTCGCTTCGGTTATGTGGCGTGTAAGGGTGGGACCGTCAAGAGTGGATGTTGTTACAGGGAGAGAGGACGTTGGCACTTGGCAGTTGCTTGCTAGGCTGTGGGGGACGACAAGGTTTAGCCGTCGGAGATGGTGGCCATCCGGCCTAAAAAGTCTGGGTTTGGGATTTAGAGAGGAAAGGGTATTTTTGTTTTTACAATCCCTATTAATGTCAGTCAACAGATTTCATTAACAGATATTAACGGAAAGTGGATAATTGTTATTTTGAAGCTTTTTGGATAGTAAATTGTCTTAAAGGCAAACTTTGCGTGGGAAGATGTAGTTCGGCCTTGATGTTAGTTCCAACCCAAATCCCCCACGACTCCACTCAATAGACAGTTTGTTTCTATTTTTTTAAGCAGCCAACGGTCTTGTTCCATGTGCAAAGAGAGCTGTGTGCCATGTGACCGAATAGATGAATTTTCAAATTATTTTTTTGATTGTAGTTATTTTGTAGCCTTTCAATTGATTGGCCCGTCGTCCCACTTTTGGAAGTAATTAACAAGACGTTCCCTTCTCTATTTTATGAAGAAGTCCTCTTTACTTTGTGTGCAACTCGAAAACATTGGTAGGTTCAAGGAATGATCTGTACTGCTGAATTTTTCCATTGGAAAAATGTGTTGAATTAGGTGGGTATAGTGTGGAAATTTAGGTTTGTTCAGCTAATGGAATTCAAGCATCTTTGGATGTCACTGTCCAGGGGGCTGTTTAAAACTAAAGAAAGATGGAATGGCTATCGTAAGCAGCTTCATGATTTCATATTAATTTGTTTGTTTCCGGGAACCTCCATAGAAAGTCATGGTGGATGAATTTAATCCACTTTTTGTATGGCCCCATATGTTTATTTAAATTGTGGACTATTTGGCACTCTCCCACTGCTATAGTACTTATATAAATAGCATTATGGTAGTTGCCATTTATCACAGACTCATAAGAGAGACAGCTCATTCATTATATTTATTGCACACATATAACTCTACATTGCGCAAACTCAATATATAAGAGAGCAAAAGCTTGAAACAGTTTATTTATTACTCTACAATGTTATCTTCACGCATTTGCATACCACATGCAACTATTTTACAACCTAGAAAGAATTGGAACAGGTTGATACAGTCCGTACATGATATTGTTATTATTTAGCTCGCCAAAGTTTCTATGTTATTTCTTGTTCAAGATATGCTGATTTATGTCTCTTCATTTGATTGGCTGATTTGCAGTTCAAAGTCCAACAATCAGTGGAAACCTGGTAGGTTGCTGTGACAATGCATCTCCCTAACGATATATTTTAAGCTTTTATGAATGGAATATCGTTCTTGCATTCGGTCAACAAAATATGAATTTTATATATCTTTAACAAACTTGAATATGTTCGGTCTTTAATAATAAGTCCATGGAATGATCTATGCAACTTGTTTTATGGCTTAAAGAGTGATATTTGATATGCAATGCAATAATGTGATCTCAGGTCATTTCACTGAAGTCCCACGTAATGTCAATATGGAGAGCCTGCGCACTAGATATTTGTTTCCTGAGGTGAGGGAATTTTAAGACCATCCCGGCGCTATAGTCAACTGTGTTAAATTAAATTGTTTTTCCTTGGCTTTGTTACTTGATCTTCTCATGCATGCATGGTAATTCAAGCTTATATTTGAAGTATCACACTTCTGATTCTAGTCTGTTCTTATTTCCATGGCTTCATTTGAATTAATTAGATGATTCATCAAAAACATTTAATTAAGTTCTTGACATTTATTATGATTGTTTCTTGACCAGATATTAATGCATGAGACTGAACACACCAGGAAGTATCCCGATGCAAAACTTATACGGCTTGGTATCGGTGACACTACAGAACCTATACCTGAAATGATAACAACCGCAATGGCTGAGGTAACTCAGTATGGCTCCGTTTAGATGAAATGATTTTCCTGAAAATTAATTCTCACTTGTGGGAATTAAGAATTAATTTTACATGTTCTCAGATTATTTGTTTACTCTATACATCCTCAAATGTCGAAAGTATTTCCCAAGAAAACCTCCTTACCTGAAATCAGCATACTTTTACAGTCTCTGCACACACATTTCTACACCTGTTATTTTTTTCTCCGTTTGCTGTTCCGGATGATTGCTCTCCTGGGTTATCTTTGAAAAATAAGCAGCTTAAGTCTTTTCTGTTTTGCAGCATGCACTTGCTCTATCAACAGTTCAGGGTTACAAAGGGTATGGAGCTGAGCAAGGCAACATGGTATTTTACGCTTTAATTTGCTGCTTCTAAATATTTGTGAATATTAATTAGAAGAGCATTAAAATTTACAATATTCTTTGGTCTTTTTTTCTTCATAATTGATAAGAGAAAAACTGACACACAACCACCGTCCAAGCCGTGCACTGTTTGAGATGCAAATCGTGATAATTGATAAATGTTTGTAACCTGAGTCACAACTCTATGTATATATGGACAAAATATATAGCTAAAGCGTTAATTAATTTCTTTCTGGATCCTGTCTTCTTCTTCTGTTTCTCATAAGCTATTATTGATTCGTTTGGTAAAGCTTTATGCGGATATGGTCCCCAACATGTTTTCTGTTGTGACCCTAACAAGTTTAAAGGGGCTTTTATTAGATCTAGAAATCGAGTATACTTGAGAAGCCCCAGAGAAAAAACACTTTCTTTTGCTGAATACTGATGTCTCTATGCATTCAACTTTCTACTTTTATCAAGTTGTGGGTAGTGCATACCTGGTTAGCATCCCTGACTGGTCAAATCTTCATGAAGCTTCACTTTTATGGATTACTTTAGAAATCATGAATATCATAAGAAAATCAAATAGCTAAGGATAAAACAAATGAATAGCAACAACAAGAACATTTGTTTGCGACAAAATACATCGTTTGTCACAAGATGTTAAATGGGAAAAACAGGCGTCAGCTTGCTGACGACAACATGTTTTTAAGTGCTATGATCTTACGAAAGCATCACCTTGATGATTTTTGCTGGTAAAACCATTGTAGTTTGTGGAAATAAAATGACTTCCTGGTCAAGAAAAATAAAAATAACAATTTATTTTCCCTCGTTAACAGTTTCCAAAGTTTTATTCACAGTTATATTCAAGAATAGCCTGAGAACTTGCTTGTGTTGACACAAGTTAATCAAGTGTTTTTACCAGAGTCTGAACTTGTAATCCTAATATTTCATTTAAAGAATTAATATAATTTTGTTTTTCAGAAAAGTTGTCATGACTGAATAAATGGGAAAAAGATAGATTGATCCTTGTTAAGTAGATGTTTGCATCCCCTGGGCTCTTTTCTGCTTGCATGAATAGAATTCATATAGTTTGTCATGTTCATTTAAGAAACTTAAACTTCTTTGCCCCTTTTAATTTGTAGGCATTAAGAGTGGCAATTGCAGAAAAACTTTACAAAGATATGGGCATAAAAGGTGAAGAAATATTTGTATCAGATGGTGCTCAGTGTGATATTTCTCGCCTCCAGGTATGAGAACTTAGGTTCTGCAGCATATGTTGTAATTCGTTTTTTCTTTTTATTTAACTCGGTTTCTGCTGAATTATATGTTACAAACCTGATGACTTACGCATTTGCTCTCAACAGATGCTTCTTGGATCCAATGTAACAGTGGCTGTTCAGGACCCAAGTTTTCCGGTAATATTTGAGGACGCTTTGGATTTTGTGCAAAACTTCTTTTGAAATAATTGACCACATCTTTAATCTTTAATATTTTTCTAGATAATTTAAATTCATTGCATTACTCTGATTTTCCGGGAAACTTAAGCAGCCCTAAGCAGTTATTATGATAGTGATATTTATATTGAATTTGATTGAAACTTTTGGACCCGGGGACCATGTTAATGGACTATGTGTTTGGAACAGGCATATATAGATTCTAGCGTCATTGTTGGTCGAGCTGGCAAGTTCGAACAAGAAACTGGGAAATACAGGAAAATTGCTTACATGAAATGTGGACCTGAGAGTAATTTTTTTCCCGACTTATCAACTACTCCGAGAACAGATATCATTTTCTTTTGTTCTCCAAACAATCCAACTGGTCATGCTGCATCTTGGCAGCAATTAAAACAATTAGTGGAGTTTGCAAAGGCGAATGGATCAATAATAATTTATGACTCCGCATATTCTGCTTATATAACAGACTCAAGCCCCAGATCAATCTTTGAAATTCCTGGAGCCCGAGAGGTCCGTCTATAAGAAATAGTCTTTTTGATGCAATATTTTTTTTTTTTTTTTTTTTTTTTGTGATAATTAACTTGGCCTTTATTATATGACAATATAGGTAGCCATCGAAATTTCGTCCTTCTCCAAATTCGCTGGTTTCACAGGTGTCCGCCTTGGTTGGACAGTGGTCCCTGAAGAGCTGTGTTATTCTAATGGATATCCAATCATAAAGGACTTTGACCGCATTGTGTGCACTTGCTTCAATGGTGCTTCAAATATTTCACAGGCTGGAGGCCTAGCATGCCTTACTCCAGATGGCTACCAGGTAGCTGATCAAATTCCTTTTCCAATTCATGTCTTGTCTTGTGAAATTGTAGTGAACATTAACAGTAATTTACAAAAAAGTGGTAGGTTGAACAGTCATACTTAAAATTTTGAGTTGTTCTTAGACTAATGCATATATAGTTGACATTAAATTTGACTTGTGGTATCATCAATTTGTATCAGTTATATAAATTTTATTGAATTCACTTAATCTAATTATGAAAAACTATATCATGTTTTCTATAGAAAAAATGGTGTCCTCAAACCTCCCTTAACATAAAATCATAGAATTTAAGTTCATATACTTTTGAGTATCCGACTTTATAAATGTAACATTTGAATTATTGTCTATACTAAAGTTTCAATCCAGTGAAAATTTATCTTAGAAATTGTCAAAGGTAATCCAAATTTAATCATTGCTACTGATAATTTCACATTATGCTGGAGATAATTACTTCTTCCCTGTTGTTGAATTTGTTTCAGGCTTTGAGCAGTGTAGTTGACTACTATAAGGACAATGCCAAGATAATCATTGATGCATTTCAATCACTTGGGTTTAAGGTTTACGGTGGGAAGAACGCCCCTTACGCATGGGTGCATTTTCCAGGCATGAGTTCTTGGGATGTATTCGCAGAAATTCTTGAAAAAACACACATAGTCACTGTTCCAGGTTGCGGATTCGGTCCTGGC